TTCGTTTTGGGTTTATCTGAATAAAATTAGTTATAAAGTAGTGAGGTGAGAGTGCGGTCTAAATTAAAAATGTACAATAAAGGGCTTGGGCGTAGTTTGCTAAGTGACCGAACTGGGCGTCACCTACCAATGTAAATAAATAATAATAAATAAATTTTTATTCAGGTAAGGTACATACATACAAGGTAAGATACAAAAGTTGATGGATTTATAGATAGAACTAGTACATACAATGCCTAAAGCCACTATTACGCAAAGCGTTTCGGGCAGACGATGTGACGTCTTTAGCCCATGTCCCATTGTTTTAATTAGTCACGAGGCATGAGAGCGTTCATTCTCGTTGATTTTGAAATGTGCCTGTATACTACACCTGTATCCGCAAAATTTAGGAACATACCTGCTCCATGTCGAGCTACTAAAGCAAGTGTTGTGCGCCCTGAATAGTGAGCATCTAGGCTTTCAAACCTTATTAAGGCTAAATCTATCATCTTTATTTTTTCTATTAGTGATAAAGCCATGCGTAATTGAAAGACAGCGAGTCGAGATAAGGCGCAAAGTGTTGATAATGCAGTGCAGGAGTGGTGCACTTCAACATCAGAGGGTACCTCATCGCAATCAATCTCTACATCTTCCATACCTGCAGAGAGTAGAGTTCTTTTACTCTCCGAGCCCGGCCTGGTGCCAGTCAACACCATCTAAATAACTATGCACCATCAACACTAATCTTCAAATTCATAAAGAGTATCTGAACTTCTCATACCAGTGAATACAAAGTACTGTTAAATTCCCCCCCCCCTAGATTATTAGGATGTAAACAAAGATTATTCATTCAGTATCAGTGCGTCCGAAAAGCATGTGGTCGGTTGGTCCACCATTCACCCTTCTACTTTAACAAAGTGCAGTGAAGCTTTAATGAGAATGGCACATGAATTCTGTCCAAAACAAACTCTCCATAAAATACCGGGAAAATAGATTTTATAATAGGTACTCTGCAATAGGGGTACTGGTCCATGCAAAGCAGGGCCAGCCAGCTTAACACCTGATTGTCTTTACATGTGCATCTGTATATCTTGTTTTCAAGTTATTTGCCTCAATGGCAACACACCCGTGACTTATTTTGCAGAGTTACACTCACAACAACATGTGGCTTCTTGATCATACGTGGTCAGGAAAAATACGTCTTAACACACACACAATTATACTCTTCTCCAAAAAAATATGGTTAATAAGTTATTTGGTAAATTGTATCAGTGTTGCAACAACAAACATAACACACTGACATTCCCAGCATATTGCTATCAGCTGATATCATTTCTCATCCAGACACTAGATAACGAATGCAAGCACACGGAAAAGCCAGAGTTCATACAAGCTCCAGTATTCACGAAAATTAACTAGTAAATTAATTGTCCATAGTGATTGGAAGAGTTGTACTAGTATTAAGTCACTTTTGGTTCAAGAGTTTGGTTGACATGTTAACCTATAATCGTATAAAAGTTTCAAAATTCTTCGGATTTACAATATTATAACTTAGCCCACATCCATCCTGTGAAAGTGTTAGTCACATGATGGGTTCGAAACTGTACCCTAGTGGACTTCATGCAATTAAATTTATTGTTAAAGGTACATTTATCATTCTTCCAACACTCGTCCAGTGTACGGCGGTAGACTACAGCAGGAAAACGTGAAAAAGTTAAACAAATCCACAAGGGCCGTGATGAGGGGGTTTGAACCTATTCACGGGATATTTCCTGATGCGCCTTAGTCAACTGTGCCACCACATGATCAAAAGAATTGCAACCTAGAGTGTGCTACTGCCCTCACTAGGATCCCAAAGCTTCTCCGAATCCCAAGAAGGCACAATGTTACAATTGTGCCTTAAGGAGTAGAATGCAACTAAACGTTATAAGAAATTACTTTCAATTAAAATGTGTATAATTTTATTGTTATCAGTATGATAAGTTGCTGTCTCGAGAGAAGAGCTACAGCTGTTTATATGCTCATCCCCCCCACGTCCAACCACTTGGCCTGGACAGTAGAGCGACGGTCTTGCTGCACGCAGGTCGGCGTTCAATCCCCGACAGTCCAAGTGGTTGAGCACCATTCCTTCCCGGCGTCCCATCCCTAATCTATATCCTGACCCCTTCTAAGTGCTATATAGTCGTAATGGCTTGGCGCTTTTCCCCTGATAATTACCTCCCTCCCTCCCCCTCCCTCCATAAACCTAGATATTGTTTATTATCCCAAACATTTAAAACGGTGGAGATCTCGCCACACCACAAAGGGTGTAGTAAAGCGAACGTATAAAAACTATAGACCGATAACACAAACATCACACAATAATGAGTCCAAGTGCCAATCACATAAGTCACTACGTCTACATAACCCCCGGATAAACATGGGTTTAGAGTGGGACGTTCCTATTTCTCACAATAGTTACACAACCTTCCCCATTATGACATGGGGAGTCTAGTTCAACCTTGACGAGCGGACGTCAGACACCTGCTCTGCCTGGGTGGACCACCGGAAACGCGTGACGCGACTTTACCCACTGGGCCTCTATACAGCCTTCGAGCATTCCTATTCAGCGGCAAGTCTAGAAGCCTGCCACACTAATCACTTTGGGACTACAGGGGGTAAAAAATATAGTTTTCCCATTTTCTGGTTGGTACTTTGGACAGATGTGATGTCAGGCGGGTCATGGTGGGGTTCTGGAGCAACTCGTTATCCTAAATAGTACATCGCATGTTGACGTATAAAAGTCCCCAAAGGCCAAAAGCTGATGTACTAAAAACGGTGGCGGCTCGCGAAATTAACGTGGTCTCGTTTTCTGTTCGTGAATCCTTATAAGGTATGGTTAGGTTCAGGCAATTTAGTAAAACAGTTTAGCGACCTTTTGAACGCTCGGGAGAACTGGCTGCACTGGTAGGCAAATGTTTGGTGGGGCAGGCGCCGGCCCCCACCACACAGAAAACAATGAGTAGTCAAAGTCGCAACAGAAACGTGATGGCCCCCTCCTAAACTCTTACCCAATTGGGCAAGGAACCTATCAGGAAAAAACGCCAAGCCGCTACATCTATATAGCCCTTGGAAGGGATCAGGATAAGGATTTGGGATGGGACGGGGAGAGGGAATGGTGCCCAACCACTTGGTCGGGGATTGAATGGTGATCTGCATGAAGCGAGCCCGTCGCTCTACCGCCTCGCCCAGGTGGTAGCCCGTCCTTTAAACAAAGGCCCAAAATTCATTCTTATACAAAAGCCAAATCCCCTGTTGATGAATGAAAAACGGTTTATACACGACTCACAACTGATGATGTCCGAACACTTCCGTAACAAGTTTTTCGCTGACGACTTTTGTTCGAACTACAAAGCTATAAATGCTCAGCCCGTCCTCCAAACAAAGACCCAAAAGTGATTCCATCCACCCGCCAAGCCCCGTTTATGAATGAAAAACGGTTTACACACGATTCAACTGATTTCGTTCGAGCACTTCCGGAACAAGTGTTTCACTGACGAATTTTGTTCGAACCCCAACGCTGTAAATGCTTCACCCACGTACTACAAATACAAATAATCGCCAACAAAACTTAAAACACCTAACCTAACCAGTACCTATATATGCATAATATGGTAATATAAAATATTCATTTATATTTGAGAAAAGTTCTGTTTTGAATGAAGAGGTTAAAATTGATGAATGCGTCTTTGGGGTCGACCACTGGATAGAATGAACTTTGTCTGAGGACGGGTTGCACGTTGCAAACACACTTATCTCAAGTCTAGTTGTCCACTAAGCAGGAGGCCTGGTTAGAGACAGAGACCTTGATGTCCGGAACAATAACAAGGGTGATAATTATAGATAGTAATTGATGGCCATTGTAATTTTGGGGGTGGAAAATCTGCATCATTGATACTAAATGCTGCTATGGCAGTGTCCACTCACAGGATGAGTAGTGCTGCCCAATAAACTCGCCCCTCGGGTCAAAACTTACACAAAAAAAAAAAGACCATATAGGCCTGTATCTGTAGCAGCTCAATTTCAATGCGCTTTACATACTAATAGCTTATTAAACATGCATTTTATGTAACAATTATTCAACCACTGTATCGTGTTTTATATTAAATAAAAATTATTTATCATTAATCTAGTTGCAGCAGGCAATGACAGTGTGTTAAGCCAGCTTGAAGCGGAGCTATATGTAGGCCTACACGAGGCCTACATAGTGAGTATGAAACTTGAGCGACAAGGTGGTGGTGGTGGTGGCATCGCTTTTTGCAGCCCGATAAGGAAGTGGCCGAGCCGTTTGGCACCACGTGCCTCCCAGCGGCGCATGCAATCATCTATAAGAATGGCAAGCACTCGCTCAAAACACCAACACGTTTCCCAAATCAGCACCCGTATATGTATGTATGTATGTATGTGTAATTATATATTATATAATAATTTATATATAATATTATATACAAAGTACAACGATGGGAAGGGGGAAACAAAACAAAAAAGATATATAACGAGTCACGGAGAAAGGGGAAAGAGAACGGAGCTAAAACACCATAATATGTACGTATGTTCCCGCCGTAAAGCAAGATTTCCCGGGAGAAACAGCTGATCGGGGAGGAGGGAAGGGGGTGGGGGGCCGCGCCGCTCCGGTACACCTAGACGGTGTTGCTGGCGGTGACCAGCCTCCACACGGCTTAACACGCCCCCCACCACCTCTCATAAGGTGACGCTCGTTCCCTGACCAACAGTCCGCGACCCGGAATTGCCGCGTGGGACTTTAAACGTGCAATAAATCCACTTAAAAACTGGCGTCACTCCTCGTCTCGCCCAGGCAAATCCCCGAGCCCTGAGCTCTCTGACGCGGGAACGCGTCGAGCGAGCCATTTTAAGGCGAGCACACGGGTCAACCAAGGCCCAGTGTGGCCTCTGGTGGTCATGTCACGGCAGCTTTGGGCCCAGGTGGGCTGTAAAATCTGAATGCCCCGCGATCAACTTACCTTGAGTGCCGTGTGCAACGCTGGGATCCAATATGGCGGAGTGTGTGGGGGCGTGCGCACTCCTCCTCCCCACCTCGCTCTTTATGACCGTCTCTTAGATAACACCCAGATACCTTATCGGCCCCCTTATCATTAATTGAGCTGCAGCTATATGAATTGCATCTTGGGTTTGAGTGTGATGGATGGTTAGAAGGCATTTTTAGGAGGTTATCGTGCTGCTGAATGGGATGGGATGGAGTTGAATGACAATAGAGGATCAGTGCGGGGAAGCAGGAAGGGGTTGAGGAGTCTGCGGGTGATAGGTGGGGGTGTGGATGCTGCTCCGCCGCCTCCGTTCTATCCACCCACTTTCACATTTCTCTCGCTTATAGTCACCTGGGAAGTGTAAACATGGACAGGAGACAGGGCATTATCAACACATTCCCGGGGGATTCTGAGGCTACAAATGCTATGGATTGCGATGGAATCCTTGATGATAAACTCCTAGATGATGTGACGCCTCGAATCTCTCTCATAGATGATGTGATGGTTGAGGATGTGAAACCCACATTCTGTACTCGCTGTCGGACAATTTCCACCAGCTTCCTGTCCAGCTCGTATGTGACAGGTGACAATATTAGTATTGGAAGTAGCGACCGGTGTCAACCAAGGGATGCGAATACGGTTTTTTTTGTGGGTGAGAGAGACCTTTCCCAGAATGACACTGATGATGTGCCTCTCCTCCATGTAAGTCTCCTGTGGGCTACAGTCTGCTTATTAAAAGGCATATTATTTTCTCATTTACTAGCTATAACGGTTAAGTTCACGGGCTGATAATATTCACTGCTCAGAGTATTGCTGGCAGATAGGTTCATCTTACAAGAAAGTAACTCTGAATTACCCCATTGTATCTATTTACTAAACGGAAAATAAGAGTAGGTAAATATTTACATACAACCAATGTTTGGAGCTATATGGCTTACTCGTATAGTATTTGAAAGAAACTTTAGATTTAGGCCTAACCTTTGTCTAGCTTAGCCTGGTCTAGCTTAATCTGGCCTACCCAATCCTGTACTAAATTGTCCAGAAAAATGCAGCCAATAAAAGTAACAAACTTCCTGGCAACTATTTCCTACTAAAGGAATAGAAGCGGCAGGTGAAAGGAAATGTTCCCAAACATTCCTGTACTACAATGAGAATCGAACTCTGTACCTTTTAGTTGTGAACCAACTGCACAACAAAATCCTCTGAACTGCATTGGGAATTTAGCAGCTGGCAATACTCTTAACTGCTCTGCTTATTATTTTTCAAGTTAAAATTTCATGTCCTTCATTGGTTTTCCAAACTTGATTTATAATCATGCTTATTTTTATATAGATTAATACACAGCTATTAAGACTTAATTATTACTATTTTCTTTTAAGTACAAAATATTTAAATTATTGAATGTATTCTATGTGAAATTTTAGCTAAATTTTTAATAATAATTAACCCCATGAAATAGTTCTTTAAATAAATCCAAAGTACTGTAAGTTTGCAACATGTGAAATAACATCTAGATTATAGTATAGTTATATAGGAGGCCTGGTCGACGACCGGGCCGCGGGGATGCTAAGCCCTGGAAACGCCTCAAGGTAACCTCAAGGTAGTGTGTGTAGTAATTAATGAATTGATGGGCTTAGTGAAATTTTGCAAATTGATAAATGGATTACTTTACAAAGTATTACTTTGTAATACTATACAAAGTAATGTAGTATTTTTCATATATTATGGAAAGGTAAATACAGCAGAAATGTGTAGGTTTAAATGTGAGGGATTAGTGTAATTGTAATCTTATCAGTAACCAGCATAAATTAAAGTAATCTTAAGCTGTATAAATCACCAACTGATAAAAATGCCTGTTTAAGTACAGTTTTTTCTAATAAATACAGTATTTAAATGTACATGTTCTATGCTGTGTATCTAATAAAAAGATTGTGTTTACTGGTACAGTATTTTAATTTCCATGTATATTGAAGTTTGTTTATACAGTACAGTATCTCATTGTATTTTTCTAATATGAATATCATAGGACTATCATAGATTTTTTATGCCTCGCTACCTCCCGGGAGCTTCCATTACGAGATGGTCTCGGCCCAAATTTCTAAAGGAGGCTTTATCACCCCACAAATCTTTGACTCTTCCAAGCTATTGACCCCACCCCCACCTTTTCCATTTTTTTTATTTTTATTTATTTTATTTATTCACGATTCCCTTCCGAGATGCTGGTCTTCCTTATTTTATTTTTGGGGCTCATGCACTTTTATTAGATTATGATAGGTATAGCAGAGTTGGCAACTGACTCACTGCTTTTATTTTTCTCAACTTTATGATGAAAAGATTTTCTGTAATTAAATAGGATCCTGGGACTCAATGGTAATGTTAAGACGGGTCACAGCCAAAAGATCCCGGGTTCAATTCCTGTAGTAGGGCAGAAGCATTCGAGTAACTTTTCCATTCACTTGATACCCTTGTTCACCTAGCATTTAGTAGATACCTGGGAGTTAGGCAATGTTATGGGTTGCATCCTAGGGAATATCAGTAGTTGAGCTTAGGGGGGGACCTTGATAACCCTAACAGGTTACTTTTATATAGATTCTGTCCTTGATTAAGGGAAACCAAATTTCGGTGAAATCCACGGTGAATCCAACTCCTTCATGTATAGACATCCCGAGTGTTAATTCCTGTTGTCTGGGGACAGGAAGCCTGTACAGTACTTAAACTTAATATCGAGGTCCCCCTAGGCTAACTACTGACCAATCCCAGGATGCCACCCCTCTACCATTGCCTAATTTTCAGATACTTAAAGTTTGAACCCAGGCTCCCTGAATGTGATGCAAGAATGTAAACTTCTTTACTATAGGACTCATAGATATGCACAAGTTCCATTGTGTTATACAGTACTTTTACAGTCATACTGGGATAGAGTTATTTCTTTCCAATTGTTTGTCCTCTTGCTTATTATTGACATAAGCAGAATTTCATTTTGCAATTATGTAAGTTTTGTTTTAGATTAGGTTTTTATCATGTCTTTAAAAGTGTTTTATAAATTAAATGAGCTTACTTTACTTACCATATTGGTAATGCAGAGTTGTTTTAATTTTTCTCACTAGTATTTCCTTATAATTATAGGATGGAAATGAAGTTGAAGGAGGACAAAGAAGTCTTCCATCAAGCAATAACTCTGACCACTGTCATGCTCCTCGACTTGGTTCCCGAGCATCCCGGCAAGCCATGAAGAAGCTCTTTGTGGCATGTGGCCTTACAACAATATTCATGGTAGGTTTATGAATAATTATGCGTGTATATCATAGCAGTTTACTAGCACTTAAATTATATTTGATATTCTGAGTACAAATTATAATGTGTAGGGAGCTCTTGATTTGCTGGGGTGTTATATTCCCATATACATCATACAAATTAATTATAAATGTATTTGGGGAAAAATATGGTTAAGATTTGGAGGCTTCAAAAAGTGTGTTTTCACTTTATTCTTTAGAAAACAACTATCAATTAATAATTAATGCTCTCCACTATCCAGCCACAAATTCAATATACAGCTGTATACATAATGAAAGTTCATAATGCTTGATATGTGCAGTAATGCATAAAACCCAAAAGTTAGAGTACATGTGTGTCATTGATGCTAGCTACTGACTTGATACCTGTTTCATAGGGTTCTGGGAGTTCTTCTACTCCCCAAACCCGGCCTGAGGCCAGGCCAGACCCGCTCTCTACCTAAACACACACACAGAAAGCCATGAATATTTTGCTTGTTTATGTATATAATCAACCCTCTCTCTACTATTTATTATAAATATGGTAAAGTAAAAGATAAAATAAATATTGTACATAGTTTTTAATGCCATGAGCAACAAATATGGTTACAAAGGAAAGTTGCATATGGGCATTTGTTGATATCTGCTATCTGATATTGATAGTGGATGCCAGCCAGATAATTCATGCCCTGTACAGGTATTGCACAATTATTTTGCTAATAAATATTGGTTCCAAAAAAATGTGTGAAAATTACGTTATCCACTCTTATCATTTACTGTAATTAGATATTTAATGCGCACAAGAGTTGCCATCGTAATAACTTTCCATTAATACTGTACTTTACAATTGTTGAGACATGTTGAGAATATAATAAATATTTGTAAGTAGAAAATAGAAGTGGCTCTAGGAATAGTAATATAAAAATCTGGATCCCCTGGAAAAGTTAGGTCAGAACATCAGGCATACCTGGAGAGGGTTCTGGGAGTTTTGCTACTGCCTGAGCCTGGCCTAAGGCCAGGCTTGATTTGTGATAACTTTGTCCAACAAGCTGTTGCTTGGAGCAGCCTGCAGGCCCATATATCCACTACAGCCTGGTTGGTCCATGAATATGGTGGTTGTACAATTGTTGTGTTTTGCCCTGGTGGGAATGAGTTTTGTAAAATATACAGGGACTGATATCATATGGGTTTTGTAGCACAGTAGCCTACATACTTGATTCATAATCAGGGATCCTGGATTCGATCCCCAGGCAGGACAGAAATGGTTGGGCATGTTTCATTTCACCTGATGCCTCTTGTTTGCCTAGTAGTCAATACGTACCCCAGGAGTTGAGTGACTGTAGTGGGTAGCATCCTGGGGAAGGTCATTAGTTGACCCAGGGGGACCTCGATAAACACAAGTCCAAACTTCCCATTGCCGATAAATGTAATTATTCTCAGAAATAGAGCACAAAGCATTATTTGATAATTTGTATATACTGTACAGTATTTAGTTTCATTTTAATCACTAAAGACATTACAGGTGTCTCTTACTGACTGTCTTTCCATTCATCTGAGAAATTATATTTTTTGGGGCAAAGATAATGTGTTGGATGAAAAAATTTTATGGCAAAAGAGTTGTTCATAAACTCTTTATATAGTACATGTATTTTGTTTTTCCTGATAAATTTGAAAAGATTAAATGTATAAGGTTTTGCAGTACAGGTATTGCCATTAATATAGAGTACCCAGTACATTGTACTGTATTCTTAAATAGTTAGTTTACCACTGTAAACTTTTTTTTTATATACTGTATATATAAATTTAAAGGACCAAGTTTGAGAGTTGTTATACACCAACAGATTGCTGAAGCTGTAGGAGGGTACATGGCTAATAGTATTGCTATTATGTCTGATGCGGCTCACTTACTCAGTGACCTGACATCTTTCATTGTATCCTTGGTGGCAATATACCTTGCCATGCAACCTGCTTCAAAAAAGATGAACTTTGGATATCACAGGGCAGGTAAGTTTTTAAATAAATTTGCTCTACTGAGTGCAATTTGATATTTGGTACAGTATTTATATAAATGATTTTTTAAATTACAGTACAGTATTTGCAAACATTAGTTTTTACTTGTACATTTTGAATGCCATGAGTTATACCGGTATTGGCACAGTAGAACCATCATGCATCTGCTTGGTCTAAGGTACAGTACTTGGAAGCACTGTAAAACAAAGACTATCCATTCCAAGTTTTCAGAGGGCAAAGTGGTCCATTCACAAGCTAGGGTACAGTGCACTTCCAATTTGTTCAAGGAAGGGGGGGGGGGGTTGTGTTCTTGGAGAGCCCATGTCAGACTGGATCTTGCAATATTTAGCTAAATATGAGTAGCAGAAATAGATTCAATAGCCTACATTAAATTTATATTTACTGTATGTAACCAGATTTAACTGGAAGGACCTCAATTGTCCTCATTTCCTTTGTGTCTTCTATATGCTTTCCCTTGGTGATGTGTAACTAATATACCAGGGTAGTATTTTAAACATTTTACCATCATATTTTTGGGACTTGCCCATATTTTTCTCTAAATTCATAAAATTAATACTTCTCACAGTAGCTAAATGACCAGGCTATTAATTCTGGAAGGGCTCAGGAATACAGCTTGTAGCTGGGGGACACAACTGTGTGGTAAAACTTTATTAAAGGTGGGAGGCGTGTTTAGTTTCCATTGACTAAACTTATCATTGGTAGAAAGTGAACTTGATTCATACATCAGCGACTTGATTACTAAGTATGCGAGTTCCATTAACTTGATGTGAACAAGGTTTGGTGTGGACAATATCTCCTCAATGTGAGAGATTTCTACATTCACAGACGAATTGTTCCAGAATAACTCTCCTTGCATTTATCTGCTTCTGGGAAAGATATTGGCTATCCTTGGTCCTAATTCTGCTTACTAATCTAGACCAATTGAACTCTGTTCATCTTCTCCCATTAATCTCATTGGAAGTGGCACCAATAATCTCCACATTCGCACATGAGCATCCCAGACCTCACTGGAGGTGTTAATCTCTGGCGTGACCAGCCATTAGCACCAGCCTAACCCAAGACCAGAAAAAACACCATTTCTCTTATATAATGCCTCAAAGACTCCACAGCAGTTCATTAATATCCTAATTAATTTGTGCTTCATGCTATGTAATCTTACATTGCATATTTAGGCTGGAGTGAGACGGGTATTTCCAGTGATATTTTACATTTTGGTTTTATCTTTGAATGTAGGGACAATATTTAGATACTTTTCACAACATGAGCTAAATAATTCTAGTGAATGGTGCTGTCCTAGAATTCACCACTTTGAAAAAAATACAAGATGAAATGTTTCCAGTGCAGAAAGGTCAGCTGTTATAACAACACAATGAGAATTTAATTTATTTACTCATTGTATCCCTACAAAATTTAATCCTTAAAGTGCTGTTATCATATGTTGATCCATGGCATAATGCAGTAATTATCAATGTTAATTGTCATTATTATGGTCTGGTTTTTATACCCATGATGATAATGTAGATATAATAGGTCAATATAGATGTAATGGACAGGTACGTAAAGCCGCGCTTTTGTGCCAGGTAAGTCCACTATGGGCTCACTATAGCCCGTGCTACTTGGAACTTTTTGTCCAGAGTAGCTGAATCTAAAATAACAGAGACATAGTGGAGGTTCTAAACCCATGTAAGAAAATCCTGCCATTATTTAAAGGTCTTACTAATGTAATGAGATTATTATATAATATAGGGGCCTACAATTATTGTCAGACCACAATTTGGGCTTTCCTACCAGTATAAATCCATCTCTGAACAAGCAGAATACTGAAGCAGCAAAGGAGTTGATTGCAATGTGCTTCCTGTGAGCTGTGCCAGGGTTAGGTTTACATATTGTTGAATATAGGTGTTCATATTACATTGTAGGCCTATATGCAGTATTGGTTACGGTGGAGGGGTGAATAAGTTACCTCACATAACAGAAAACTAAATTATTTTTTTATGCACCCAGTTAGTGGCACTTATGATGATAGGCGCAATTTAAGGATTACAAAATATACAAGCATGTTTTCTGCGTGTCTTGATCATAAAGACAAGAAACATTGTGTAATATTTTTATAAGAACTTGATTTGCTTTTACAAGCTCAACAGGGCAAGCCAATTTTGTTTTAATATTGCACAAAAATAAGCACTCATTTATCAACTTCGGTGTTTTAAATGTAGAGAAACAATAGTTCTTTCAAAACTTTTAGACCAATATTAATCTTAGTTTACCAAATACAGATTCTGTCTCATGGTAGTCACTTAGGACTAATGCTATCTCAACACACAAAAAATGGTCAAATTGCACCCTTTTATTCAGAAATGTAAAGTAATTTTTGATTTGACCTATAGATAAGCATGATTTAAAAGTTGAATAGCTGCTTTTCATGCCATTAAAGTGAAAAATATTACATATACAGTACATTTACATGGAATGGATTGTAAAGAATAAGAAATTATCCAAAATTATATCATCACTTATACCAGTGTGGTATATGTTTTGTAGAGGCATTTGGAGCATTAATTAATTTTTTTCTTTACAGAGGTGTTAGGTGCTGTAATCAGTGTGTTGATCATCTGGGTCATCACAGGCATTCTAGTTTATGCAGCCATTCAACGTGTCATCTCCATGGAATTTGAAGTTGAAGCGGATACTATGATCATTGTGTCGGCTCTAGGTGTTGTTATTAATATCATGTAAGTTGGTCGGTCAGCAAGAATCCTTACCCATTTGCCTTTTCAACCACCCACCCCTCGAACCCTCGACCACCCATCCCTCGAACCCCTCGACCCCCCGCCCCCCGAACCCCTCGACCACCCGCCCCCCGAACCCCTCAACCAAACACTCCCCCCAACCTCCACCCCCTTTCTGTGTGTGTCTTGTGTAGATATCTATAGAATGCCATTGCATAACTGCTTGAAACTTTCAAAATGTGTTTGGTGGGGGAAAAAAAAATCATTTACAAATGAAGAAGGGAGTTATAAGGTCATGGTTATAATACCATAAGCATGGCTGCTCATACAAACATGTTGCAAATACAAGACAATTTGAACATCAGGAGATATTAACCCCTGCATTGTGCACCTGTTTCATATGACAATGCCTTTTTGCACCCAAAACAAAATATGGCCCAGAAAATGCATCTAAAAATGATAACACTCGCTGGGTCGGCTAGTGGCCTCCCACATACCCCAAGGTTTTCCAAACGTTTCCTGTGAGCGTGCACCTGCACTAGAATGTTTATACTTTTTTCATTTTTTCACCTCAATTTTCGGGCTACATCATACATTTTGGTATCAAATTGTTCGCAATAGAATTTTCTGAGTGGATATATGCTTTTAAGGTCAAAAGGTCTAGGACGCCACCCACATCAAACCCGAAAATTGGCCAAGCGTTACCTGAGAGCGAGCACCCATCCGCACACCCACAACACCCACATTAAAATATTTGAACTCTTTTTTTTTCAGTTTCTCGCCTCAATTTTCGTGCAACGTGGTTCAATTTGGTATCAAATTGTTTGCAATAGAATGCTGTAAAGGCATAAATGCTTCACTGCTTTTATCATAGATTGGCTCTGTTCTTGATCACTATCCATCTTGAAGTCAATTTGCGGTGTTTATAAAGCCAGTAACAACAAATACCCAAGATAAAATAACCGGAATGGGGAACTTTTCGACTCCAGGAGAGGATGCGACTGTCATGAACGAGATCACAAGAACACTGAGCCTCTAGCATGGGTGGGTGCCTACACAGCGGGGTCAGGAAGCCACGTGGGGTATAAAGAGAATGGGCAGACATTGTCACACATTTTAAAACAAATCCCATAGTATTTGGACAATAAATGGAATTTTTACAAATTGTTTAATTAATGACGCTGTATGTGTCATCACTCGCTCTGAATTTTGGTTCCATGGCGGAATATTATTTTGTATTTTTTTAAATCTTGTGCTAGACCTAAAATCAACCCTGGTTGATAGGCACATTGAAGGGTTAAAAAAATACATTTACTAAAGGCTAGGAGGCAGGACATAGGAATATATCTCACTTTCTTTTTGTCACTAGTAGGCAAGTACCACTACCATCACACCACCACCACCTCCCTGTACTCCTTACACCACTTTTGCCATATTTTGATATATGACGACCTGGGGATACCTCTTGATTGGCTTTGATGAAGCAATCTTGTTGTCTAGTACTGATATTATTGGCTTCTTGATGTTTGTGGCAAATTATCGTAAGCTTTAACAATATCATAATGGGTTAAAGTTACACAGAATAATTTACAGCACGTCATGATTATGGATCTTTGTTCCATTAACTACCGAGGACAGCATTTGTATACTGCTGGAAAAGAATTGGAGAACTGCACTAAAGTCTAGAAGATATTCATAATATATTAGACTTTTCTTAGACCAGTATTTTTTCACAAACATTTTGGTTGTTGCAAATGATCTACTTATTACTTTTCAGCCTTGGCGTTGTCCTTCATGTTGGTGGAGGGGAACATGGCCACAGCCATGGAGGACGGAGTCACGGCCACAGTCACGGAGGACAAAATCATAGCTCCAGGTCCGGTGGAAATAGCACTCCCGCTGAGCAGAATGCACCATCCTCCACAAATGTTAATGTCAGAGCAGCCTTCATTCATGTATTGGGAGATTTAATACAAAGTGTTGGTGTTTTAATTGCTGCATATATTATTAGATTTTATGTAAGTATTGACTTAGTTTTTTTTTTTTTTTGTTTTTTTTTACTACCAACTTTTGAAGATATTGTACTACATTGAATTGTTTGACTTTCAGTATATTTATTGGTAATGATGCTAGTGGAGAGATTTACTAATTGCTCTAGCAAGTAAAAGAAAAGTAAAATTGTTTCTTCTAAGTAAAAGAAATTGTTTTTAGCAAGGGTAGTAGAAAATCAAATTTAAATTAAATTCAACTACAGTAATTAAAAGAAAGAAATGTATACTTTGGTGTTTTCACATTTTTACCTTTATTTTCTTACCGATATATGTAGTTCTGTACAATACTCCATCTACTTTCAAGACTGTGAATTGAATTCATCTAACCTACATATTTTTGCTACTTAGATCATTTCAGTCTTCTTCAGTCCCTACTGTTTTCATCAATTTTTCATGTGCAAAATTTGTTGTATTAGGTCTTGTGTCCTCGGGAAGGTTGTTGACATAGATCAGAAAGAGTACATGAAGAACTAAGCTGCTTGTGACCCTGTTTTCTGCTTCCCTTCACTTTGATATTTAATTTTGTATTACCCTGTCTCCAACCACTCGGGCTGGTCGGTAGAGTAATTTTCTTGATTCTTGTGGAGTCGGTATTCGACATCCAATGGTCTAAGGCAATGTACTGTATCTTTGCCCCATTCTCGTATCTCGGCACCTTGCCTTCATATCCCTTACAAGTGCTATGTAGTTACACTAACTTGGCAGTTATTTGCCTCCCCCATTTCTTGTTTGTAAACAAATTTATCCAGTTCAGTTAAATATTTATTCACAGTCTAGGAAGGAGCAATCCACCCAGCCCCCTTCTCTTATATCCTAGCTTGAAGACTTTCATATAATTGAACAGGTTTGTCAAGCACGACTTGCTTGCTTATGTACTGTACGTGTATGCCGCTTCCGTTATAAAATTTGTCCTGTCTAAATGTTCCCAACCATATCTTAGTTGTCGGGTATCTAATGCATTTTGTCACTCCTGGTATTTTAGTACTTGTACTTCATTATAAGGCAGAAGATTATTACGAGACCTGGATGGTGGTGGGTTCAAGTGTGTCTACCTCTAGATCATCCCACATGTTTACTCCATGTAGCCCAAATAAATACTTCCTTATTTCCCCGTGGCTCTTTTATTGCTATTTTCTGCCATTGTCCTATCATTGTGTTTCCTTTTATTTGATGGAGGCATTCCCTGTCCTCCTTGTATGTGCCTATCAGCATCTTGCACTGTATATTACAGAAATGTTTTTGTTTAAAGGTAGGCTTGGATAAGTAGGAAAATACAAGCATGCATCCTTACAAAATATTTTTTCTCCTACAGCCACAGTATAAAATAGCAGACCCTATCTGCACCTTCCTCTTCTCCATCCTGGTGATGATAACAACAATACCAATCCTGAAGGATCTGGGTACTGTTTTGATGGAAGGCATGCCACCAGGGATCGACTATGCACAAGTTTGTTCAAACCTAACGGCACTACCTGGTGTGAAGATGGTTCACTCGCTACATGTTTGGGCACTTACTCTGGATAAAAATGCATGCTCTGTGCATTTAGCAATCAGTAAGTATTCATTATAATTATTTAACAAGGTGTTCCTTTTAAGGATACCATGTAGTTTTTGCATGATTATTTTTTATCATAAACCTTTGTGTATGCTTGAAAAATTGTAAGACATCAGCATGATTGTCCCTTTCACAATAGAGGCACAAAGTCCCTGGATATGAGATTTAAAAATCATTTTAACGAGTTAAAATTTTATTCTCGTAATCCTTTGTGTGAATTTCGGTTAATTCTACAAATACTGTATTTGTTGCCTTGAGGATAAGTTAGAACGTGCAGAACACTGTCAATTTTATAACACTTTCTATATTTGTAAATACAAACCTTATGCTTGTGGTAGTGCTCGTGTAACATGGGTCTAATTTCAATAGGATTTGAAAACTTGTTAATATGCCACCTCTTTGTTACAGTAATTTCTTAGTAATTCTAGACATCTAGCTAGAGGTCTCCCTGCTTCCTCAGACTAGTTGTTTTTGTCTCAGACTCAAACAGGCAGCCAGTTTGTACATACTGTACATGGTAGGCTTTTATCGAAGTCTCATCCCCCCCCCCCCCCCCAAGAGTCGCATTGTTGACCCTTCCCAGGATGCAACCCTACAAGAAGCTGGGTACCTATTACATCATAGGTATAACATATAATGTTAATATTAATGTTTAATGAAATACTCTAGACAAGCTATTTCTTGGGAATCTAGAAAAAGGCAGACATTTTCATTTTCCCTAGTATATAAAAAAAGGGACAGATCTGAGGCACTAGGCTTTAATAGTTAATAATAATAATTCATTGTGTCGGGGGACAGGCAGCCAGTTTAAACATACAGTACATGTTAGGCTTATATTGAGATATGCCCCCCCCCCCCCCCAGGGTCAAATTACTGACCTTCCCAGGATGCCACCCTACAAGAAGGTGGCATCCTGGGAAGGATGCCACCTTCTCCTGACTCCTGGGTACCTATTTACTGCTTCATGGACAGGGGCATTAGGTGATAGGGAATGCACCCAACCATCTGTCCTGCCCGGACTTCAAACCTAGCATTCTCAATTGCAAGTCAAGAATGAACCCGACTGTATTATCAGGACCCCTTATTCTGTTATCTAGAATAGTTGTTTTATTCTATTCTGTAGACTTGCTACACCATCTCATACATCATTCATTTTTAAGTTATACTGTAGTTTTCTAGCATTTTTGGGAAAGTTTGAGTGGCCAGTAATAAGTGAATGGCTGAAAAAGTCTTGTGTGTTGGTTGGATGCAAGATTCCCTTCATACAGGATTGTAATCTTTCATATATGAATTATTTCTTTTAAGTGTAGCTGTGGACATCAGTAGATTGCAATGAGTATGGGATGTCCTTCTGAGATGTGCCTTGAATACTTATCCATTCACAATTTAGTTTTGACACTGCAAGGCTCTTGGTGGTATTTGACACTGTCCATCTTGGATATTACATGTCCATTATATATGCACAATGAATTCACCAAGCACATGTTTGTCAGGTTCAACTTCATGTATGAATCGTCTCGTGTTGTCTTCAATACGGTGTGCAGACTCTGATATTGGCTTCTAACAATTGTTTGACATTTGAGCCATCTTACCAGTTCCAAACCCTGTACTCTGATTTGGAATCTTTTACTACAAGACTGCCACACTTGAAGTTTATTTTGTATTAATATTTGCAATGTGTTCCAGTCTCTTGTGAATAAACTGCCACTTGGCAAGTCCTCATCTTTGATTTTACAAAGTCCTAACCTGTGCGGTAAGGACTTCCCGACTGTCCTGAAATGTCTGTTAGTGTTTTCAAGAAAAATTAACATTTTACATTTACTTTTTATGGATGGCTGCATTCTGATGACAGTATTAGCTTCTGTTATTTTGCCCTTATAGGACTTTTATATACTACTTTGAGGCAAATAATTTTACTGTGTAACTTTATGCCATTTTATTTGCTCTGGTATAGTTACTTTTCATATATCACCGCTTGATGCTTTCTTTTGATAATTACTTTTTGTGTATTTGTAATGGTTATTGTTGCTTACCGTCTTGTAAATCTTTTTGCCCAATAATGATTGGAATAGCAGGTATAAAATTGTCAAATTGTCTGGATATGCAGTCATGTTAATGTGGCTTCCAATGACCTTGCAAATGCTGCCACTAAGGAAACTCATTTGTTTGCATCTTGTCCCCAAAACCCATTCCCTATTCCAATTTGACCCTGTCATTCAAAAAGTTATCCTTACCTGTTGGAAAGGTAGATGACTGGCTACCACCAATTACAAATTACACGATATCATTATGCCTTTTTGCATGGGGATATGTTGCATTTAGGACAGGAGAAGTGTTCTTGGCTCCATTACTTCTTGGCCATACCATATTATTTAATTGGCACTTAATGGATTGGATTCTTGATGGATTGGCACTTCATGGATTCTTAATGTTATAATTATTTGTTCTGCTTGGTGATCTTTCTCCTGGTTGAATGTCCTGATTTTCATGATCAGAAACTTTTGATATACTGTCATTGTATGACTAAAATCTTCAATAATATCATCAGTGAATCCAATAATTTTGGTGACTGCTTGTGCCTTTCTGCTCCCGTATTGGTGGCTTCTGTGGTCTCTAGGAACTTTTCCATCTTCTGCATGCCAACTTGGGTATCTACAGTACTGTTTTAGGTGTTGGGAATCATTACTAGTGGTCTCTTTAGCTCTTTGACACTATCCAGCAGGTATCCTCCTTTAGGAATGATGGGTAACTTAATCAGATCCTGATGCCTCTGTAGGATTTAATAAACCTTTTGCCAACAAGACTTTACCTACAAATAATAAGTATTTTCTTGTAATTTAGTGTTTCAACATTTAACTAGTTACTTTTGTGTATTTGTATGTATGAGGCTCTAAATACCGGTCTCCCAAACCGGTCGTTATTACCGGCAGATCGGTATGAAAGAGGCCGTTAAATTGAGTGGATACTGTGTGTAATGCTTTAAGAGAATATTGCATAAAAACATGCCTTTTATTTTGTGCTTGTGTTCTTAGGTCCTGGTAGTGACCCAGAGGTTGTGTTAAGAGATGCCCAACGCGTTATAAGGACCCGTCACCACATTTTCCACACAACTATCCAAGTTGAGCAATACCAACCACAGCTTATGGACAACTGCCAACAGTGCCAACCACTCTCTAGATGAGAGGCACCAGATATTAGGGAATGTGCGCATTTTGTTTACTTAATTAGTTAAAAAAAAAAAGTTGTATACAGTACTGTATTCCTATATCGGTTGTAGATCAGAGTTGTATGATTTTTGTATAATGTTAGTCTAAAAGATGTGAATATAATTTATGCACTGTGGCCAAGTTGGGTTTATAGTGTGCTAGTGTTACTGCTTGAAGAGTGGTTTATTGGTTTATTTTTTCAGTCGGTATTTAACTTTATGAATACCTATTGAAAATAGGGATTTATAAAAGATTCTCTGAAATGTTATAGAAATGCTGCATTATAAATGAATAGCTTTTTCATCTTATTTAATCAGTTCTCGATTATTTTATATTTTTTATATATTTATATTACAAATTAAGTTGATTTGCTTGCAAATATTTTAAAAGTTTAATATGAGTACTGTACAGTAGTTATATTTTAAGATTTTATGAATATATGTATATATACAGCATATATATATTTTTGTTTTTTGTTTTTCAAATTTTTCTAACTTTGTAGATGAAAATTTTAATGCCTCAACAGGTGCTTCTACTATGTAATACAAATAGGTCTGCACATGTGCAAGAGAATCTGGAATCGAATCCTGGACAGGGTGGAACACCGTTCGTTCTTTCGCTGTTGCTTCTATGCACTTACTGCTAATTAGGGACCTGGTTATAAAGCTTGATTCATGTTCTGTGGGGACAAAAATGGTGCCGAATAATTGGTTCCAGTACCTGGCCTAAGGCCTAAATTTTAGCACAAAAATGGGTTTTGACAATTTAATTTTTAAATACTGAACACATCTTTGGATCACACACATTCTACTTCTTTGTACATGGCATGAATTAAGTAGTTAAAAGAATTAAATATTTTAAATTATGATGTATATGTTTTTAAATCATAACTGCAAACCTTCAAACAAACTGCAAATCACATCATTTGCTACTCTGTACTGTACTTTGCTCTTTCCTCCTTTTGCCAGTTCTAATAAAACACTTAGATGCCAATATTCTGTTTATACAAGGTACTCTTTAAGAGTGACTGAACCCCATTTGTCTTGTTTAACTTCTTGTGTACACAATTCATTTATTGTAGTTTTTAGGGATAAGATTTGTATACAATGGCACATTTTCCGAGCTAGATTTCCTCAGATTTGATACACTTGTGTTTGTCATGTAAAACAAAGCATAATGTTAAACATTCTCAACTGTTGTACCAAGTTGTATCAATTATTCAAGAGGAATGGTTTTTTTTTCTCTCTCTCTTCTCCCCTTTCACACAGTGCAGAATTATCATGACTACCCCTAGACTGTATCTGACTTTCCTGGGATTGGATAATACCTGCTTGGAACATTTTCCAGATAATCTCTAGACCTCCAGATTTCTCATAATCACTATTCTTTTTTGTAAAACACATCCATAGTCATACTTTCATGTCCACATATCTCCATGCAATATTCTGTTAAATTGATACCCTGCAAACTTCTCAAATTACTCATTACCTATGTTAAATATCTTGTAAAATTTTGTGATTACAGTATACTGTACTACTCTATTTTTGCACTCGTGCTTGTACTTGAGGGTTGTCATAATTCAACAATCACTTCAACGTATAGCTGTATAACCTCATTTTCTACAGGATTTTTTTTCTTCCTTGTGAAGACTTTCATTGTAATTACATCACACTTTTATCTCGTTGCTCTCAAACTGCGCTTGTAATTTCATTTTAATGATTCAACCTATTATTCTTTACTAGAAAGTGTGCCATACTGTATTTACATATCAAATTTGACATGCTACTTTTGATTCTCATTACACACTAATGCTCTAACTTTGAACTCTTGTAACATTATCCATATGTACACTAAAGATCATCAGAATACTACATATCTCCACGTGTATATCACTGAAATCATCATCAATGGTGAATGGTCATCATCATATGCTCCGCTTTCACGAAATAAACATTTGCGTGTATGACATATTTGTCCCAAACAAAGCACTGACTGACTGACCAAGGCAGAAGATTTGATCGACCCCTCTTCTACCCCGTATGTGCTCAATAGTTCATTTTTGGTTGTACTATTAAAAAAAAGCAATTAGTGAAGTAGGACATGCAGTCGAAATAATACTTTTATATTGAAAATAGACCATTTATATTGATAGATTAAGATATACTTAGTGTAGTTGAGGTAGCAATTTTCAAGTGGTGTGGGTACTTTTCATACAAATGCTTTTGTAGTAACTAAAACACAGTAGAGGATGTGTTAAGTAAAGAGTTGAAATAGGACCTTTAGTTGCAGTAGACCCTTGATAGTGGAGATTTGATGTAGATATTGCTTAAGGAGGTAGACAGTGCTGTGGAAACACCACTATCTAGCAGCAATACTGCTTACAAAATAGCTCAATCTAAGGAAATGCAATTTTTAAATTGTTTTGGTTGCCGGCACAGTAAAGACAACGTTTGGGTAGCTTTCGGATGTTTTATTTAGTTGCGGCAATATGGTGCTTGTGCATTTACAATTTTATGCAACACAAACACTATTAAAAAAAAGTGCAAGACTCTTTATTCTTTTTTAGGTTTTCTCTAGAAGCATTTTAAAATTTCCAATGTACTGTATCAAATTTCCAATGTACTGTACATTATAAAGTGAGAATGGTTCAGACAACCATTATTAAGTAAAGACTTGATTTTGGAGAATTGTCACAACTAATTGCTAATACTGTATTATACATTTTTATTACACATGGCATTGTTGATTGCTGCCTCTGTATATTCTGAAATATTCTCACTCCACAGTACTGGCATTATTACCTTTGGGTGTCCACTACAAGAGCATGCACTTTAATACTAGTATTTATATGGTAATCTCATCAGTCTGATGACAACCATATGGCAATTACATCAATCTGGTGGTATTCATGTGGTAATCACATCAGTGTGATGGTATTTACCCGGTAATTGCATAAATCAGGAAATTGCAAGGGATTAGGTGTATTTTGGCCAAAATAGAGATTGTCACACACGGTAAGATTCAAGACCTGTAAAAGATTGAGACAAAAATACTGTAGTGTGCTCCATATAGAGATGCATGTCACTTCACATGAGAAACCAAACCATTTGTTGATTGGTGAGAATATCACTCGGTATGAATGGGAATATTTGGCAGATGAAGTGAAGGTGAAGTGTGAACCAAGTGTCTGGTGTCCAACCATATTTGTACCTATGATTGGTTCATGAACACATTTCCATGCTGGCAATGTTGCTTTTGATGTTGTAAGAGATGTTAATTTGCATGTGACAATTGCTAATGTGAAAGAAAACTACTTTTGTAGTGAAGTTAGTGTTTTTGAATAATGAAGAGTCTCACGAAGTAGAGACTTGAGTACTTCACTTCTGGAGATAGTGTTGTAAATTTATGAAATAGTGTTTTATGTAGTGAGAATAGAATGCCAGTAAAAATCACTGGAATGGGGGGATACTTTATGCACTCAATTATCCCCCAAACTGTTTAACATATCAATTCATAATTCTATTTCGGGTAAATAGTTGCTAAAGATATTGTCATTATGTATGTTTTATAATTCTTCCGCATTCAGTGTTGCTTCAGTTCTTTTTGTAGAAATATCAGTACCTGTACCGTAATGCATAAGCATTTGATGTGTTACTTGCTAACAAATTGAAGCAACTGAGTATCATTGTAATATGGAAATAAAGCAAATTTTTGTTGTGAAGGAATATGGAAAGCTTTACATTTTGTAAATATGTATTGTAATTTACAGTTTATCATCATATTTTATATTTTAAACCAAATGGAATCATTAATAAAAAAATTCTAAATGTAAAGACTTTTTTTTGGGTAAGAATATTTACATTTTACTGGTATTTATTAATTTTAAGTATTAAAAACAAGGATTTTGAAATGCTGTATATACAAGTGTTAAATTATTTGAGTAAATACTTTATATTGCTTGTATAAATCATATTTTATTTGAACTAGAGTAGTGAAGCAAAACTAGTACACAAAACTGACCTTTTGACCACCTTCAAACCATCCACACTGCTATTTAAAAACAAGTTATGAAATTGTGAACTAAAATTATTTTCAACACAAACCACAAAATGCCAGGCCTTGTCAACGTGTTCCATCAATGTGGTGATGGTACAAAGTAGTAGGTATCCATCAGTCTCAAGAGGCTATGGAGTTGCGCTCTGGTTGTCGGTCAAGTGACCTCTCCAGGGCGCAAAGCCAGGGTAGGTTAATACGGAGAAGCCGATACCCAAGCAGCAGGTCTCCCTGCTGCTTGGATGAAAAAGGAGTGGCTTTTGGCCATTGATAATTGACACTTCAGACTCGCAAAATGTTAACCAATGGGGTGAGTTTTAGAGATGATGTGAACCAATCAGCAGCCGGATTTGGTTGCCTGCTGGTTATAAAAGTGACGATGAGAAAAAAACACACCACTGTTTTTTACCTCACTTTTGGTATCCAGTTCCAGGTTGGTCTCGAAGTTTAGCTGTATGTAGAGGATCCCTCTCCCTTTCCTCTTTGTTATGTCTCCCTCCCCCCTCCCCCTTTTGGGGGAGAAAACTACCATTATTTAAGATTTGCCTTGACGACTCGAAGGTTGGGTTAAGTGTGCATAATGCTGCGTGTGGCCCTATAGCAGACAGAGTGGCCTGTGACACTCCTCTACCCCAGGACACAACCACAACCCAGATGATTGGGTATAGTTTGGAGGTGTTCATAGACACTAGAATCTAGCTCCAAACTAGACCGACATACCCCTCCCTTCTCCATACAACAATAACTTTGTATCTTGCATTTAGTAGTGCCACTGAAGCTTTATAATTATGGGTGATAAGCATGCCTGGTCAACTCTTCGCAAGACTTTACAGTACAAAGTCTCTACTCCATCGGTAGGACAGCCCTACTATAGTGTTAACCTAGTCTCAAACTTTCAAAAAGGGCTATAAAACCACCCATTAGCTCCACAAGTGGGCACTAACAATGTTGCACAGGTCTGAGGAGAAACCAGAGGCTGCCCTGCAGAATCTTAGTTCCCAGTTATACTGTAATTACATTGAACTAGCCTGGTTAAATACTTGCTTTGTGGTTCTGGGAGGGTTTGAGTGGTCCACAAGACCTATTGCGGGTACCCAGGTCACCCCTAAGGATTGTGTACTAGCCTGATTGTGAACTAACCTATGGTGAGCCCTTTACGGGCTCACCATAGCCCGTGCTACTGGAACTTATCGTTCTGAGTAGCGAATCTAAACCTACCTACCTACCTTCGAGTGCATAGTTTCAACTTCCACCAGATGTATTAGCAGTACAGACCGGACTAGAGAAAGAAAGGTGGCACAGAATCCTTACAGCATGTGAAGAAGTCTCTGACACTAATGCACCCTTCACACTGGATGAGCTCAATCGGGCTAAGAAAAACTCCAAGGATACATCCCCTGGAGCCGACAAAATAACCTATAAAATTATTAGAAACCTCGGCCCAGAGGGAGACGCTGCATACCTAAGGTTATTAATTTAGCCTGGACTTCTCAAACTAGACCTTCTGCTTGGAATAGAGCAGACATAGTGCCGATCCCAAAACCCAAAGATCCAGCTAATCCCAGGCCCATCTCTCTCCAAAGCTGTGTAGCCAAGACGGCTGACAGAATGGCACTCAACAGACTGGAGTGGAAAATTACTAAACTGCACCATTATATGTATGCCTATAGAAGAGGGGTTGGCACAGTGGAATGTATTACAACTCTGTTAGCCCACTTGAATGACAGACCAGGAATGCTGATATTCCTGGACCTCGAAAAAGCCTTTTAACTGGCTAGCGCCCCAGCTATTCTCTGCTGCCTCATTGACAAAGAGGTCAGAGGCAACCTGCTCTCCTGGACCAAAAACTGTCTCAAACAGAGAAATAAGAGTAAAACTTCATGGCACAGTCCCTGAGTACAAAAGACATGAAAATGGTACACCGCAAGGAGGTATTCTCAGCCCTCTTCTCTTCAACTGTTTAATGGAAAGAATAATGAGGTTGAAACTTCCACATCACTGCAGGCTGCTAAACTACGCGGACGACTTTGTCATCATAAAAGGAAGGGATGCGGCGCGCCTTGCACCCAAATGCTTAGACTGCATCAGTAAAGAGGCAAAACAGATTGGGATCAAACTCAACCCCTCAAAGCCAAAGGCCATGCCCATAAAAATAGCGAAGCCCAACATCCAACTCACAGTACAGGGTCAACCAATTGAATGGGTCGACACCTATCAGTATCTAGGAATCATCCTGGACACGCACGTGAATTTTAATGCTGAGGTCACCTACTTGAGAGAGCGAACTGCAAGGGAGCGTAGGAGAAGACAATGAACAGAAAAAGTTTCTTCAGTTCAGCGACCCTCAGTTTCTTGATTCTGAAATTGCCTGTATCTACAAATCATTCTCTCGCCTTGGTTATCCTTTGCATTTCATCAACTGTGCCTACTCTCAAGCTAAACGAAATTTCTTTCATCCTAAACCTGCTTCCAACACTAGTAGCACTGTACTATGCCTTCCCTTCATATCTGAACTCAAAACTTTTACCAATACCTTTCGTCCTCTTGACATTAAACTCGCCTTTCGACAAACTAACACACTTCGTAGCAATCTAGTTCACACTGCTCCTCCTGCTTCTAATGCTGCTGGTGTCTACTCTATTTCCTGTTCATCTTGTCCTCTCCAATACTTTGGCGAAACTGGCTGTACACTGAATGACAGACTTAAAGAACACAAGAGAAGTGTTAAGTCTGCAGACACTAACAATGCTCTCTTCTGCCATGTGAGGGATTCTAATCATCCCATTGATTGGTCTTCCTCCAAAATAATCTTTCCTGCCTCTACTCTACACAGACGCCGTCTTGTAGAATCGGCTCTTATACACAATGTACCCAACATGAACTTGAGTCCTGGCTTTGTTGCTGTGGACTCTTCCCTTTCACAGTATATACTCATATGCTCTAATCTTTCAAACAAACGTGACTTAACATAAGCTTTCCCCCTTCCATTTCTTTCTTTTTCTTTCCTTTTCTTTCTCTCTTCTCCCTTTTTCTGTTCATTGTCTTCTCCTACGCTCCCTTGCTATCCTCTTCTTATTCCTATTACTATCTCTTTCGGTGGTTATAATAGGAGCTGCCACGTATGAGCCAATAGGCCTGCTGCAGTTCTCATTACTACTATCCCCTACACCTGACTTTCCTCCTCAGCTCTCTCTTGCCTATTTATTGCCTGTCCCTACCTCCTCATCACAATCGACTTGAGAATGGTCCAGGACGGACCGAAACGTCGTCGTCCCTTCAATTTCTAGTGTGTGGTCTGGTCAACATACTTCAGCCACGTTATTGTGACTCATTGCCTGCATATAAAATAATATACTTCCATTATGAAATAAGTAAATATGTAGCCTCATAGGAAGTCAACGGTCCAGGTGTCAATGTTGTGGAGCGACTTATCCAAGATATATTGTTGTCTGGAAAGTGTTTGTTGGCATATCAACCTTCTGTACACAGTGATCCAGTCGTCGCACTTCTCTCCTTAAATGATCGCAAATTTAGTTTATTATATTAACAAGTAGAATACGTATTTCTAATAATATCTAACATAACTAGCCAGAAAATATTTAAGACTTATTGAAAAATACATGTCTGGAAGTGAAATCGACTTCATAGAACAATAGTGTTGGTCTATAGTACTAATCGTTATTCGTTAGCATGCGTTCGCTACTTAAAACATTTACTGTACTGATGTAAAATCTCCCATGTCTCTTTGCACATGGAACACCGAACCTTACACACTCTCTGATATATTGTTTAATTAATAGAGATTCACTAATAAAGCTTATAATTGTATATGTTATCAAAAAGGCATAGATAAAGTCGTTCTTACGTTTTAGTCACAGAGATTAGATATTAGTAAAGTTCATTTTATTCAGGAAAGTACATAAATAGTCGATTTACAAACATAATATTGGATTTATAGATAGAGCTAGTACATACAATACCTAAAGCCACTAGTACGCATAGCGTTTCGGGCATATTATTGAGAGAGGAAAAGATATTTATATTTAAAAAATTTTTTTTTTACCGACGCTCTCCCTATTGATGAGAACTACAACCTAATGAAGAGAAATGTTAATTTTATGTAGATACTGTAATAAACGAAAGTTTTTAATGTCATCAGAGAAGCAAAAATATAGGCAAATTTTAAATCCCTTGTCATAAATATAACTGAAGTGAAAGCAAAGATATATGCATTTTGATAGTTACAAAGACAGCTCTTTAACACGGGTGGAACACGAACAAGGGGAACTTAGTACCCAAATGAGCCACAGAGATATTAGAAAGAATTTTTTCAGTGTCAGAGTAGTTAACAAATGGAATGTATTAAGCAGTGATGTGGTGGAGGCTGACTCCATACACAATTTCAAATGTAGATGTGATAGAGCCCAATAGGCTCAGGAACCTGTACACCTGTTGATTGACGGTTGAGAGTCGGGACCAAAGAACCAAAGCTCAACCCCTGCAAGCACAAACTAGGTGAATACAGCTGAGGGGCGGGACCAAACAGCTGAAGCTCAATTCCCTACGCATAACTAGGCGAGTCCATAGGAATTACCGTTTGTCCTGGCGCCATCTATGTTTTGACAGCAGTACTACTAATGTTCCCACGTTATGTGATGATCGTTATACGGGTGTTACGGTCAGTTGCTCTTCTATATATGTTTATGGACAACGTAGGTGATTTGAGGCAATTTGCGGCCAGAGTGAAATAGTGTCCACGCGGTGAGTGATGGAGGA